TGAGAAATGTAATTGTGTTGTATACCTACAATGTACCAATAAAAGAATTTAATAAAAAAAAAATAATAATGTCTGCTATTTTAAAATGTAGCAAATGATGGACTGGCAGATGGACAGAGAAGTGACAAAACCATATATAACAAAATGTTAACAAAATCTAGGTAATGGATTTATGGATTTTCATCATATAATTTTAATTCTTCTATCATGTTTGAAAAGTTTCATAATTAGATGTCCAGAAAAATCTGTTTACTACCTTTCACAAAATGAAAAACAATCTGATTATAAGATAGTAGTTAACATGTAACTTTATTTTGCATATTTCTTTTATGTGTCCACAATGTTGCACATATGAATATATATATGTATATGTGCATATATTTATGTATGTTGTATATTCAGCTATTCTTTCTTAACTAGATCCTTCTAATTCATTTAAAATACACTAAAGTCTCTCCTATCTCAGAACAAACCAAAAAAAACTCCCTAAAAACCCATACCTCTTCAGATACTACTGGGTCATTTTTGTCCCCTTTCAAAGCCATGCCTCTTTCTTAAAGATGCATGTATATTTTTTTTGTCCATGCTTCCACCTACTCCATTCTGGCCGGTGCCCCCACAACTCCAGCAAAATGGCTCTTGCTCAAGATACCAATAATTTCTATGTTACCATATCAAGTGAACATTTTTCAAACTTCATCCCTTGTAGAATACATGATATTTACCTTCTTTTAAATTTGAAATAAGAGGAGGAAACTAGTTGCTATATAAAACAAGCTTTAGAAACAAACAAAAAGAAGCCAAGTACCTATAGTCCCAGGAATTTGGAAGGCAGAAGCAGGAAGATCACTTAAGCCCAGGAGTTTGAAATCAGCCTGGGGAATGTAGTGAACTCCATCTCAAAAAATTAAAAAGAGGGGCCGAGGATTTAGCTCAGTGGTTCTGCCGCCTGCCTCGCAAGCGCAAGGTTGCAAGTTTAATCCCTGACACCAAAAAAACCCCCGAAAACAAACAAAAAAAATTTAAAAGAGTGCAGTTTCATAGTATCGCCAAGTTAGAATGTAAGAAGAAAACTTAAAAGATAAAATCAAAAAAAAAAATTTAGGAAAAAAGAAGAAAAGAAGATGAAACTATATAATTAAAATAGTAAATACCAACAGTCTTTTCCATTTCTTTACCATCTTAAAATTCTTATAAACTCATTAACCATTGTTCACATTTCAACTGACTTTGTCATTATATCTATAGTAGATGCTTTACTTTACATGGGCCTCTCAAACAGCCTATTTATGTAGAAATTATTCTGAATTATAATAACAATAATCAAAGAAGCAGATTCTCAAGGATCAGACAAATCTAGTTTAGTATCAAAATTAGCACAGAAGCTATTTCCTAATCCTCACAAAATGATCCCTCCAAGACTTTTAGAGCATATTCAGGGCATATAACCTAACAGCGCAAAGCCTTACCAACATGAGCTCAACATGTTAAGAAATACGAAATTGTGCAGTAAAATCATCCACTTTAAAATAATCCTATAAAATGGAAAAGAAAGGGAATTTATTTGTAAACATGAGCTTCAGCATGAAAGATCAGCTTCAAATTTGAGACTAACTGTACACAGAAACTTGAACTGTATTTACTTGGGGTGATGGCTCCCCAACACCAGGTCCCTCTTCATAGCACCCTCCAGGTACTGAGTTTGAAGGTGAACAGGGACTGGCTAAAGAAGTATAGCTAAGAACATTCTAACATATGTAAAAACAGTAAAGGTTTATATAAAAATAGCCACAGCAGGGCTCTAATTGTTTATTTTTCTTTACTACTCTTCCACATATCTTGGTCACAGATGGCAGTTTCCTGAAAGTTCCTTTCTTTATTCTTACCACCTACTCTCCCGAGAAAAAAAATTCATTCATTCCATGAATGATGATTTAACGAGAAAAAAAATTCATTCATTCCATGAATGATTATTTAACACCTCCCATGTGTAGCCTGAGACCACTTGCCTGATATTATGATTTGGATGTAAAATGTTGCTCAAAAGGCTCATGTATTCAGATGTTGGGCTTTTAGAAGGTGAGTGGATAATAAGAGCTCTAACTTCATTGGTGGCTCAATCCATAGATGAATCAATAATGTGACTGTATTATTTCAAGGTGATGGAAGGTGGGGTCTAGCTAAAGGGAGTGGGTACTGGGGGCATACAGTTGCAGACTATATCTTGTCCCTAGCCCCTTTCTTTCTTGCTTTTCCCTCTTTCTGTGTTTCCAGCCTGCCATGAGGTAATAAGCAGACTCCTCCACCACATACTGGAGCCACTATGTTGTTCTGCTTCACTTCAGGCCCAAAGTAATGGAGCCAGTGGACCATGGATTAAAACTCCTGCAACTGTGAGCCAAGGCAAACCCTTCTTCCTTTAAATTCACTTTTCTAGGTATTTTGCTAGTGACACAAAGCTGACTAAAACACCTGGGCTTAAAGGAACATAGAGTATAGCTAATGGTAACATGCTATGATTACTGAAGGACTTTATTGCGGCCTATCCTTTTCACATCAGAGCTTCATACCTGGTAACATTTTAGTCTATTTTTTAATTGTTACACTTACCTTTACCTAAAAAAAAACCTGTACTACCTAAGTTTTTCCACTTACCTTTAAGTTCCACTAACTAATAGAGGTACCACTGAGTAAAAGAGCTTAAATTCAGTTACATAGAAGAAAACACAGAATGACTTAATCACAAACTAAACAAACACTTCTGAAAATCCAGAGTGATTTAGTGTAAAATCTAGATTCAAAACTCCAATCTTTTTGGATCACAAACTTCTTTGAAAATCTATAGAAAGTTAAGGATCCATGGTAGGCAGTTCCTAATACAGCTTCGAGTATGCCCACCTCTTGATATTCACAAGCTTATTACTCTTCCTTAAGTATTGGCTGGACATACCACTGTCCTTTTACTGAATAGAAAATGGCAAATGGAGGAAACATCTTTTCTGTGATTATCTTATAAGTGATTTCCACCCTACTAACACTCTCTTGCCTATTTCCTCTCCCTGCTGATATTGTGAGATATTCCATGAAGCCCATGTGGAAAGGAAGCAAGGGAGGTCTTAGTCCAACTAACCCCAGGGAAGTGAATCCTACCAGTGCCAATGTGAATTAGAAAGAGCTGGACTTCTCCAGTCCAAGCAGGTGATTGCAGCCTTGTGAGAGCGAGAGCTATAGGTTCCAGCTGAGCTGTACCTGGATTCCTGACCCACAGAAACTGTGAGGTGATAAATGTTTACTGCTTTAAGATGCTAATTTGGGGACAGTTTGTTCTATACCAACAGGTAACTAACATAAATCATCTCTGCATAAAAGTACACAAACATCAAACTCTAGTACACATTTTCGGGAATTAGGAGGCCTCTTTAAAGTCTACCGGTAGAACTAGTAACTCAGGGATTCCAGATTAAGAAACTTCTAATGTGATAAACTCAAAACAATGTACACAGAGGTTGGCAGGAAATTAATTTAATCATGCTATATAGGATATTATTAAGAAAATGTACTTCAAATATAATTGATATCTTGTGCAAATGTTACCAAAGGTAAAAATCAAGCCAAATTATATCAAAAGATTTTTGAATAATATATTTCATAAGTATTAAATAAGTACTGAGGATAACAAATGAAACACTAGTCAACTCGGAGACTTTACTGTCTAGTTTGTGAACGAAAAACAAAAACATTTGCATACACACACACAAAATATCTATCATAAGAGTTGGTAGTACAAATAGAGATTTGTGTATGGTATCCACTCTTATACTAAATATAACGACCTTAATAAATTTTAATTTTAAAGTAATTAAAATAAATACCTGTACTGTTTTTCCAAGACCCATGTCATCACCAAGAATACAACCTCTTCCTTGAATGTAGTGCCTATACAGAAACTGGGCTCCTTCTCGTTGGTAGTCTCTCAAATACCTATTAATAGTATAAGGAATAGAGTCTCCATCTTCAGATAATTTAAAAGCACTAGCAGATGAAGGAAACTTTCTGTCCGGGAAATATGGTTTTTCCAAATCTTCATCATCAAATATAAAATTCCTGGGACAATCTTTAATAGATCTTACTTCTTGAAGTCTTTTAAGTGGTATTTTCCTTTCTTGAAAATTTGAATATAAGACAATTGCGAATGACTTCCCATTTTCATCCACTGTGATAGATTTTATGCTTGCTTCACAAAGTTTTTCATTATCTGGGGAAGGGGCAAGACATCTTTCTCCTGGATGCCATGTGTCTACAATAAAAAAGAAAGACAGGAAAAAAATGTACCACATAAGCACCTTTGCCAAAGAATTGAAACAAGGCAAAATATATAAGATGTATATTTTTCTAAAATACATTATCAGATGATCTACCATAAACAGAACAAAATTTACATAACTTTTTTCCTATGGTTCTTAATAATCCTAGCTGTGTGTCATAATCTTCCCTGGAGTTTTAAAAATCACCTCTGGTGATTCTGATTCCATGGATATGGGCATAGGCATCTGATTTTATTATTCTGTTTGGTTGTTATTGTTGAATTCATGTAAGAGACTGATGCACAGTCAGAGTTGAAAACTCCTGATTTAAATATTCTTAATAACTCAGAATATTTGGGGGGGGG